GAGGTCTTTCTTTCTTTTACCTTTTTTATCAGACACAACGCAGAATCACACCGGTTACACCAGCACAGGTTAAGCCTACAGCTATGTTACCATGGCAGCTTAACTTGGTACATTGCCATTGCCTATCTGGAAACTCTATGTCCCTATACCACATTTGATAAATCTATCAGGGAACTTGGTGTAACATTTGACTCAGCTTTCTTTCTAGATGCTCATATTACATCTGCTTCACTGTTGCTTTTATGCTGAGTTCCATTGTGTCACACTCTGAATTGGAAATTGTTATTCATGCCTTGATTTCATCACGTCTGGATTATTGTAATTAAGTTTTCACTTTTCTTACCCAAGCCTCCCTGGAACATCTGCAGGTTGTTCAGAACCTGACTAAATCTTCCAAGATTTCACATATCACAGCATTGCTAATTATCTTCCACAGGCTCCACATTAACTTCAGAGTCCAATTTTTAAGATTCTGGTTTTGACTTTTGGAGCTCTGCATGGACAAGCACTAGCACACATCGGTGAACTTTTACATCTGTACATCCCCAGGAGATCCCTGGGGTCTTTTGAATAGGGTCAGCTGGCTATGTAGGACATAAGGCTGAGAACTAAAGGAAGACAGCGCTCTTCCAACAGTAGCTCTCCCTCTGACCCTGGAATATGTCGACTCAGTGATGTCTTTGAAAGAGCAGCAAAAATTCAGTGTTTTTAATTAATTAATTTTTTTAAGTAACTTTTTCATTTTAATGTTTTGGAATTTTTCTTGTGTAGCTGTTTGTAATATTTGTGTTGAAAGGTGCTATATAAATAAGTAAGATTTGACTTTGCTTCATTGACCTGGATAATCCAAATTCTGCTTTGTTGCACGTGTCCCAGGACATCTTAACAATACTACGATAGAAACACAAGGTAAAATAAGTGAAAAATTAATATCTTTTATTTACCTATTACTGAGGCACCCCTCTCAGCAAAAGCCAGTGCATATTCTCTGCCAATACCTGTGCAAAGAAAGACAGATGAGTAAAAAGCTATAAGCTTACTTCCAAAGAATGAAAAAAACCCATCACCACCTGCAGCACTGCTATGTTGTTGCTGCATGCCCTTTCACACACTTTCCCTGGAGCTACGAGCCATTGCAACATTCGTACTTTGATCTCCGTTTCCATTAAATAAAAAGACCGACAGACGTCTGTTTTTGCTCGAATTAAAATAGCTCATGTTGTATACCAATAACAAACGTTGCTTTACTGACTTTGCTTTGGTATACTATATTGCAGTTATTGCCCAGTGTTAGCAGTCAGCAAGACGCCGTGATTAGAGCAGCTGTGCAGCTAACAAACGCGCACGAAGAGAAAAGATTAATGCAATTTCCGTCCTAATAACTGGGCTGCTCACTAAGAAACTAACTCCACAACTACCAGATTAGCATTTGGTGCTAACAATACAGAGGCTATTTTAGCGTCAACATAGTCGACAGCTCAGCTAACGGCGATTTTTACCTCCTCCGGCCCCAGTAACAAGCACGACTCTTCCCTCGAAAGACAGAGACATTGTTTTTAGATATTTCCTGTCTGGTTTGAGAGGGTCACAGAAGCTACAAAAGCTGCAGCACTGGCTTTCTGAGACAGCAGGATGAACTCTGACAAGTTCCACTTCCGCGATATAAGGAGGCTGTAACGAGCAGTGGCCAATCAGAAGCCAGGATTTTATTACAACGTTTTTATCATTACACGTGTAATCTGTGTACTTTGACCTCAAATTTTGATATTAAAATTATTCAGGCTGTTTTATGACATTGTCCAATTCACATAATCTGCAGCATCTGAATTTTACAACAAGAAAGATAATCAGTCAAAAAAAGATAAAGGATAATGGTGATGAAATCTCAAAGACTGCTTGTATTAGCAGCAGTGAAGGTGTTCTTATGCTTCACAACAATAATTAAAACACCAATTTTATTCATATCTCCAGCTGTAAACTGCAAAA